CATTACTAAAAGTCAGAAAATAAGTCACACATTACTAAAAGTCAGACAACCGTTCACATATTACTAAAAGTCAGAAAATGAGTCACACATTACTAAAAGTCAGACAATAGTTTACATATTTCTAGAAGTCAGACAATAAGTCACACATTACTTAAAGTCAGACAATAGTTTACTTTTACTAAAAATCAGACAATGGTTCACACATTACTAAAAGTCAGACAATATGTCACACATTACTAAAAGTCAGACAATGGTTCACACATTACTAAAAGTCAGACAATAGGTCACACATTACTAAAAGTCAGACAATAGGTCACACATTACTAAAAGTCAGACAATAGGTCACATATTACTAAAAGTCAGACAATAGGTCACACATTACTAAAAGTCAGACAATAGGTCACACATTACTAAAAGTCTGGCAGACAGTAATGGCCGATTTTTAAACAGGAGAACAGAAGGGACGTTTTCCGTTTAGCCTTATTTGTGAGAGCCTTTATTGACAAATTATTTGAACGGTGTCTTGTTATGCGTGCATATTTCATAGTGAACACTGTTTAACAGTGTGTAAGCTGTAACAGAGGAGAGAGAATTTATCTTCTTGCCCGTTGACGTAAGAAGAGAAGTGAGACAAATCTCAGCTGGATTCTGATTCTCTAGAGTCTGGTTGAACAGACAGAATTAAATATTAGAATTTATTTTCCCCGGCTGACTGTTCAACTTGAACAGTCAGCCGGGGAAAATAAATTCTAATATTTAATTCTTTGATTACATTTATTTAACTTAGTTTAAATTATAATTAATGTTGGAGACTGCTCACTATCGAGAATGATCCAAGAGTTGAGCAAGTTGTGTACTTTCGAGTTGGTCAGTTTCGGCCCTTTTCGGCTCTCCTTTTAATAACGGTCGCTAGCTGGAAGGCGACGGCCGCTTAGTCAGAGTTCACTCCCCTGACTGCAGTGCAATTACGGAGTGGAAAACAGTTACCTGTAATCCTAGGGTTAGGCTTAGGGTTAGAGTTTGGGGTAGGGTTAGGGTAACACATCACTGAAACGATGGAAGCTTATCGCTCATTACGACAAACAGATCCGCAAGTCTCACATCTACGGTCACTAAGTCTTGCATCGGAAGAACTCGGTCGCTAATTTGAGTCGCAGCGCATGGTCTACGAGAGTCTTGCGTTGCAAGACCGCGGTCGCTACTGTCAGTCGCAGTGCGTGGTCTAGCTCTAGCATGTCGACCTCACTTTGTTTTTTTGATTCGTGACTTGTCCGCTCCGTAATTGCACTGCAGCCAGGGGAGTGAACTCCGACTAAGCGGCCATCGACGTCGAACTAGCGACCATTATTTAAAGGAGAGCCTACTTTTCAAACCACAGGCGGACGGCGTTTCACATTTTAATTAGTTGATTGTTCAAAATTTTTCTATACAAATAACAACTGGAAACATATTATTAAAAAGCTGGCTCTCCTCCGAACTTCTACCCGATATTATCATGGCAAAGTAAATAGCCTAACAGGGCCTCAGTCCTGTGTAAAATGCAGATTTTCTGCCAAGGAACAAATCGCGGCAAAACTAGGATCGGCTCCAAATAAGGAAACAAATGCTCTAACAGGGACTCAGCGATGTGTTAATTGTGGACCTATTTCTGCTACTATGCCGCAGACAGTATCCCCGCGGCGCGGATAGGGTAGCTAAACTATATGGCTGGGCTCATGAGCAGCAGCCACCGCATCTCCTGCAGCTTCCTCTAATTTATTTGCTTGTGAGTCCCATGCATCTAGTTTAGATCCCCATCCGCGTATCGGCACGGTGGATACTGTCGGTGGTGAGTTTAACCGCGTTTTGCGCCTGTCGAAAAGTGTGAGGACAACAACGACACTAATCTGCGCCGGAGCACATTGTCTCCCCGCCATGTGACTATTATCGTCTGTAATGTTGCGTGTCTCGGAATTGTCAATGGTCGCTATTATTATCTGCTAGTATCGGCCTCAGAAACACTTGAATTTGTCAACTGTCACTATTATCGTCTGGTACTATCGCCTGCAGTGTTGCGTCTCTTGAAATTGTCAAGTAATCCTAGTTTTGTAGCGATTTGTTCCTTGACAGAAAGTCCGAATTTTACACCGTACTGAAGCCCTGTTAGGCTATTTGCTTGGCCGCCATAATATCGGGTAGAATTTCGGAGGAGAGTCAAAAAGCTCTTTTTAACAGTACATAATTTATGTCTGTTTGTCAATTCAAAGCCGAGCTATCCTAAAGTGTTTATGGATAAATTAAGTGAAGTAAAGAAGAAAAAAAAAAGTAAGCACATGACATGCTGCCCAGAAATCAGAAGTCTCAGAGAAGTGTTTAAAACTGCTTTTACTTATTAAGTACTGAACTGCGACCATGAACAGTTTGCACGAGAGACGTGATCATATCATATTGATTATATACTTAGAATATAGAATCTAGTATATAGAATTAATTAAATCAATGGACGGAGGTGAGTTTTTTTGAGTGGAATACAGTAAGAATGGGCTGTAACAATTGTTTCTGCAAGGTCTGTTCAGTTTCAGTAACTATATAACTATACAGTGTGATTAATCTAGAATACACGTATATTGTAAAATCTAAGTCACAGGCTTTCTTATGTGACAATACAACTCAACAACTGGCTGTGAGTGTTAGTCACTGTTAGTGTTTTAAAATTTTATAGATATTGTAATGAATGCACTTGTGTCTCCTCCACACTTGATCTCTCTAGTGCAGATTTAACACTGACTCTATTGTCTAGAGGTTAGGTCACAGCTCAATCAAACCAGACGGCATTTCTCTCCACGGTCACACGACTTCAAACAACGGTTGACACCAGCTGACACATATCACGAGTTTATTATCACTGAAGCACAAGACACGAATCACAGGAGAATCCACTTACACCATTCGGACAGTCTCGACTTGCTCACACATTAAAGCTCCAGACATGCTTCAGACTATGGACACTGGCATATTCACGGCTGGCTCAACAATCAAACAGTGTAACACAACAGCTGGCCTTCACGATCATTCATTCGACTCTGATTCAGATCCACATGCTCTCTTCATTCTCGATTCATCTTCACAGATTCAGTTTCACATCCTTCCAGTCTGGGGCCCAGTCACCAAATGACCACCTGATTCTCAATCCCCCAGATCTCCCATTCACACGTGACTCCCTCTCTCTTGTCGTTTTCACCATATCTCCGTGAAACCCATGCTCTCAGGGACTTACCCAATTATGCCAGTCATCCCCTGACGTTATCCCTATTTATAGCATCATTACAGATATTATCTTCCCTTAAGGAAGAAAATAGTGTACTTTACTGCTTAAATGCTATAAGAAGATTCTTAGAAAACCATGGACACAGAAAATAAGACATACTGGCATCGTTAAAGGTCTGAACATCAAGAAAGGTTGCCTGGTAAACAGCATCTTGTCTTGGTAGCTGAAATATTTTGACCATGTCAAGTGCAACTTCCAAATGGCCTGTGCGTTTCACTATGGAAACAAGTGCACTAAGAACATGACCAACTAATAAGCATGATATATGAAGGGAGAACTGGGCTATCCTCCAAATAACGGTCCTAAATTATCGAGGCGGAAAATATACCCTAACAGTGTCATTTGCGCACTTCCGGGGACTATAACGCCAACGCCGAATTGCGAACTTCTGGCGACTTTCGCCACCGCCAAGAGTATCGCTCACGCGGCATGGATTGGAGTTAAACTAGATGGCTAGGACTCACGAGCAAATAAAATAAAGGAAGCTGCAGGAGATGCAGTAGCTGCTGCTCGTGAGTCCCAGCCATCTAATTTAGCCCTAATCCATGCTGCGTGAGCGGCATGGGGGATACTCTTGGCGGTGGCGGAAGTCCCCAGAAGTGCACAATTTAAGACGACGGAAGTGCGCAAATGACACGTGACTGAGGCCCTGTTAGGGTATATTTTCCGCCTCGATAATTTAGGACCGTTATTCGGAGGATAGCCGAGAACTGGTGATAATATTTATAATATTCACTTGTGTCTTTCTAGATGAATCACTGATTGCAGTTTTGTTGTGTTGACTATATTACCAGACTGATTTGCCTGGAGAAGTCATGTTGTTTGTGGTTGGCCACAATTTGACATCCTCCTGTTTTTCTTCTTCTTTGTGTTCACCACCTGTTAACTCTGGCAGGAAGTTCTGTTTGTTCGTCCACTCTGGACATCAGTCTTGTTCAACAACTGACTTCTGCATGCACATTCACTCTACAGTTGGGGCTTATTTGCAGACTGTTGGTTTCTCGCCGCTCAGGCAGATGCATTCTGACTGAAGGAAACCCCTGATTTGTCAAATTTTACAACATGCTTGTTAGGGAAGCAGTTGGTAACCGCCCCCCCCCCCCCCCCCCCCCCCCCCCCCATGTTTGTTTGGGTAGCAGAAAGTCTGCATCCCCCCGCCATATTGGTATGTAAAATATAACAGATGTAAATAAGCAAGCTTGCCCTATTAACTTCTAGCAAACTGTCCTGTTGAGAGCCATGTAGAACAGTATTCTGACACTAGTGCTCAACGGTCTAGAGTTCAAATCCGCATCAGTATCTATTCTTTCATAATTGACCTTAGCTCAAAGAATAACTCATTCAAAAGGTAATGACATGGGAAGTAAAGGTAGCTCACGTAATGTTAACCACAGCCCCCATTGAATGCCCCATTGATCTGTTAAAAAAAACTAATAGGTCAAGCAATATATACTAGATGTGCCAAAGGCTGAGAATCTTGTACTTTTTTTTATTTAAACTATCCTGTTATCATATATGATTGAACTTTCTCTAATTGAATATGTTATCTGAAACAAGGTATATCCATTTGAAATATATATTTCTATTTGTATCTGGCAGGTACATTTCGGTAGATTTACACACATTGCCCACACGAAGAAGGAAACTGGAGTTGTCCATGTCACGGCCTTGTAATACAATAGTTTCATAAAAAATGGAGGTTGGTTCACGCTCGTCTCATCGATTGACTGCTGTGGAAGCTCTCAAGCTCATGCAGGAAGTGATGCAGGGGTTATCGGACCCTGAGAACATAGAAGACTTAGATGTAAAATATGAAGTTTGCAGCAGTGATTCAGACAGCAGCGATTGTAGCAATCATAGTCAGAGAGGAGTTAGAGCTGACAAGTTTACGTCCAGTCATCAGTCTTTTCACACAACTAATGTTAATGGGACATCGTTACAGCCTGGGCCAAGTAAAGTCAAACGACCAAAGCTGTCTTCATATCATGACAGCGACGACCAGTGGCACGAAGTAGATTCTCCATCACAGGTCAAAACAAAAGTGTTATATGACTTTTGCCCGAAAAATGGCGGTAATCCTGGCGTGACCCCAAACTTGACTGCAGAGTCTACACCGCTTGACTGTTTTTTACAGATTTTTACAGACGATGTGGCCAATGTGCTACTTGATTCTTTGAATAATTGCACTCGTTCACATATTCCAAGAAACTCACATGCCTGGAATAAATCAGAAACTGCTGCATCGTGGGCCCCAATGGACATTTTTGAATTACGAAAATTTATTGCTGTAACAACGGCAATGAGCTTGGATAGACGCTCTTTACTTCATAATTACTTTTCCAAGCATCCAGCTTTATATACACCATTCTATTCTCAGATGTTTACAAGGGAACACTTCAGAAAAATCTTTTGTGCAGTGCAGGCTTTAGGCAACCCTAATGCTGATGCCAAGAATAAAATAGAGCCGTTTGCTAAAATACTTGTTGAAAGATTCAGTGAAGCTTTCACGCCTTTTGAGAAAGTTGCCGTTGATGAGATGATTATAGAAAATCAAGGACGCTGGTACTACAAGCAAATGAACACTTCAAAACCAGCGAAGCACCGAGTTAAAAGTTTTGGGTTAATAGATAGTTCTACAGGATATATAGTGAATTTATATACATATTTTGGTAGCAACACAGGTTATGATACAGATTCTGACAGTGATGAGTTGGGTGGGGATGCTGAAGACATATTTAGAACTCTTCTCAGTCCCTTAGGCACAGGATACCACATTTTTGCTGATAAGTGGTACACAACTAGGTCCTTAATTAATTCTCTCTTGGATAAACAGTACCATTATACTGGTCAAGTACAGGCAGGTAGAGAAGGCTTTCCTGCAGCTTTGATCAATATGGAATTAGAGCCAATGGAATCCAGGTATTGGTTGCTGCTGGATGAGTCCTTGCTGTGTGTTACCTGGCTGGGCAGGAAAGATCAAGAACCTGTCACTATAGTTTCTTCCAAAGCAGTTGAAGAAGTAAAAGCCCCGGGGAAATCAAAGCCAATAATTATTGACAAGTACAACACGAGGATTCATTGCTGTGACACGGGTATGAAAACTGAGAATTTTAATCTCTTTGACAAAAAGAGTAGGCAGTGGTGGAAAAAAATGTTTCATTGGCTGTTGGAGATAGCTACCATTAATGCACACAGACTGTATGTTCTGACCCGGCCATCTGAGTCAAAGCCTCAAGACCTCACGCTGGAAGCATTCAAACTGCATCTGATCGAACAGCTGGCATTGTTTGCCACAGGGGCTACACCAGGTACTGGTCAACTGACAGAAGCTGGACGGGCACGAGTCTTCAACCCCGTTGAAAGGCTTCAGGATGCAAAACATATTATTTCGTATGATAAGTCAGACCTGCGATGTAAAGTCTGCAGCACGCCAAAGAATGTCAAGAGAACTCATTTTGTCTGTGAAGGATGTGAAGGCATGCCACATCTTCATCCCAGGTCTTGTTTCAAGATTTGGCACACACAGCTTCACTTCAAGAAATGATCTTTGAAATCCTGTGTTTCTATTTATTCAACTCATTCAGATCCTTGCAAATTGTTTTGGAGGGAATATTCAGAAAAATATGAGTGGCTGGTTACCATAGCTGCTTCCATAAGTAATGAATTGAAATTATAACAGGTTGCTGGTGGCTGCCTTATGCATTTAATGCATGTGCTAGCTGTTGAATTTTATTTTAAGACTGCTTGCCTGTTTTGGTTTTTCTTCGGCAGTGTTACATCACTATGAAAGATTCACAACACTATGACAGTTTTACGACACTATGGCAGTGTTATGACACTATGACATATTACGAGGATCGCGCCATGGAGGAGACTGGAGCATCTCTACGTAATAATATCAGAGACTGCAGTGATGCACTGCACCCAACCTTTATTGTGGAGATGACACACATTTTGAATAAAACATTCATGAACCAGTGGGAGTTCACATAAACGTCTCGGGTAGTCTGAGGTAGAGATAACGTTGCTTAGAACTGTCCATGCCAGAAGTAGATGGTTCAGTGTCTAGAGCAGAGTAGGTAAATTGACCAGCTGTCTGAGACAAAAAGTGTTACAGCTTGTTGGCAGGACTGTACAGATGTTTGTCACAAACTGCTACAAAAGAATACATTTTCAGTGTGGATAACAATACTAAAATCTGGTTGTTTAGATGAATGGTGAGAATACCCTGGACAGATCTTCTTTGCATTCACTGGCTGTAAACTCCGACGGAAAGTTCTGGTTGTTTGTCCGTCTCTGGACTTTAGTCTTGTTCCAGAACCTGAGTGTTGCGTGCACAATAGATCTGACTTAATAGTATTCAGATTGTTTGATTCCTTGCCTCTCAGGCAGATGCACTCCGACTTAGAAGGAGACCCCCATTTAATTGACTCTTACGACATGCTTGTTAGGGAGACAGTGGGTCTATTCTTGTTTTCACCCACGTGTGGAGTTTCTCTGATTATTTTACTGATGTTTATCCAAAATTAATTAATTCTTTGTCCTGTTATGCCTTTAGATGTCACTTAGGGCTTGCATTCTAATCTCCATTCTGCTCTGTCCGGTGCAGTCACCTGAGTTTCATGGATGAAAGCTAGACCTGCACCTTAAGCTTCTCTCATCAGCGTTTACCTTAGGGTTTAGGGAACAATTTTGGACATTGGCTTCTGCAGAGCGCTATCCCTTCCTGCAGTTTTCTATAGCAGGTAATTTTTCTTTTTACAAGTTTAGGGAGCTGGTCCCACGCCCAACCCTCCCCAACCCTCCTTTATCATCAGTGCTTGGGCTCGGCAATAGGAGACATATCAAAATACTGCCAATTTATATATTGTTTCTGCATCTGTCCTTAAGAAGGTAGTTGGCAAGCTGTGTTGGGGTTTACAGCTAGACTGGCCTTTTGGCTCAACAAATCTGACTTAAAACTGAACTCATTGGTCACATTTTATGGTATGCCTGTTAGGGAGGCACTAGGTCACATGTGGTGGGCTGAAAAGCTTATATATCACAACCTAGCTGTGAGCCTCAGCACAATATGCCAGTCGTTCTTTTAGGAATAATTAAAAATAAAAAAGCTGCTTCTGAAGGGTGAGTTGGGGACAATGGAAAGCTAGGAAAGGAAAACATGGATAGAAGTATTTGAACACATTGGATATACAATCCATAGACTCATTGAAAGGATATTATATAACCCCCCATGCACGAGGGAACCACCTATATCCAAAGAGCATGTTGGCAACATTGTAAATTATCTGGCAAGTTGGTTGCGATTTGCTTTACTGGCAGTTTACCTCCACAAATGAAATTAAAATTAAACATCCTGTTCAGAAGGTATCGTTTTTTAAAAACTTTGGTTTTATGTGTTAATCAGTGTACTGTCATTCTCTGTAGCTAACATTAGCTGCAGCAGACTAGCGTTTAGACAGAGGTCTAGGGTTCAGATCCTCATTGAGACAGATTCCCCCTCCCCTCCCTCCCCCAAGGTTGTGGGAACGGAGCCTCTTTTTTGTCAGAAACTGACCTTGGCTCTGGGGTTGACCCAGCCTCAAATGGGTACCAGGTGAAGTCCTGGGAGGTAAAGGTGGTCAGCAGGATGTTGACCACATCACCTACTGAGTGCGGACCGATCTATAAAATAAAGGTCAAGCTCTGTATGCTCAGTACGCCTGAAGGTGTGGACAAGGGTCCTTTACTTACCTCGGTGCCCAGGTTGACTCAGGCTAAAAATGGGTGACAGATGATGTCACAGGAATCAATGATGGCTGGTACAGTGCTGACCACATCATACATGAATGGTTTAAAAAAATGTGAGCCTGTCATATGCAGTAATCTTGTAAACTTAGTTTCAGCTTCGTAGCAGACGGGTCACCCCCTAGTTGCTCCGCTCTTGTGCCAACAATAAATACACAGAATGTCCATCACTGTAGCTTGTGGTGAAATCGACACAGACTGCAGTCTCAGCATATCCAAACATACACAGGCATTAAAAGCATAAGGCAGTCACCAGTAGTGCTAACACAAACTGTCCCATATTAGAAATGCAGCTCATCATTGACAGAAGCAGCAGTTATAGACATATCAGCAGTTGCACATGTAATCAATTTTAATCACATAAGCCACCACCAATTCTGTGGCAACCGGCTACGCACCATTTTCCAAATCTTCAGTTCTCAACACCATGGTGGTCACAGTGGAAAAAACATTTCAAGTGAAATCTATAGCTCACAGTGTCATGTCATGCTCTTAGCTCAGTAGCTTGGTGACGGAAAATGCAACGGTAACCGTCTGTCAGAACAAAACACTTTCCATGACTAAAAAGTGACCGTGCCTATCATCCATTTTGACCGTTGGCACAAAAAGGATCCTTTACTTACTTTTTATGTATGAATGAATCGCATATCCACCAAAGAACATGTACAGAATATTTTGCAAATTGCTTGGTAAACTGGTTGCCATTTGCTTTGCATGTAACATTTAAATAAAAAGGTTTCTTTAAAAGATACTGTTTTAAAAAATCTTGGTTAAAGATGTTTTAATTATTCAGTAAATATGCTCAAATTGTTCATGGCGAGGTGGTGAAGCTATTTGCTACATGCTGTGAAGATCATGGGTTCAGTTTTGGACTTGGTCATTCACTTTGTGGCTGCATCACTGGAGTTTCAGAGATTCATGCCTTGTTTAACAGTCCTGAATGGGGAAAAATGTTGGGTTCAAAACATATTGGGTGAAGCTAGGAGCATTGAAGTCAATCCCATCGTTAAATTTCATCAACATGTATATGTCATTGATTTCCTTACTTTATTCTTGACATCTTGCCCTTGCTCACTCTTGTACAAAAGAGTTTCGCCAGATCGCCCGCTTTGTGCACTTTCCTACACAAGGTGTCAGTTATATCCTGTGCCCATCTTCGTGCTGGTCAGTCCCTGCCTCTCTTTCCTGGCACCATGCTTTCTGCTACTATTCTTTCCAATCCATGGTGGACATGTGTAGTTTCCAATGCAAGATTCTGTTTACTAGCCAATCTTTCTTGATTCAGATCTGTTGAGACATCAGTATTTTCTTCTTCTTGGTCCATGGCATTCTGAGAAGCTTTCTTAGCATTTCAGCTGAAAAGCCCCTATTTTCTCCCTTAAGCACTGCGAGGTAGCCCACAGCTCACATCTGTATGTTGCTACAGGGAAGATGTATGGCCTCAAAATAATGACTTTGATTTCCTTGCTGTTGCTTAACTATAGACTTTTAATGCTGTTTAATCTTTGCTTTGCTATGGCCATCCTCCCTTTGACTTCTGTAAAGCCCCTATTTTCTCCCTCAAGCACTGCAAGATAGCCCATGACTTACATCTGTATGTTGCTACAGGGAAGGTGTATGGCCTCAAAATATTGACTTTGATTTCCTTGCTGTTGCTTAACTATAGACTTTAATATAATCTTTTCATTGCTATGGCCATCCTCTGTTCTGGTAACTGCAGTCCTAACTTAATACCCAATAAGTCATCACATAGTTGCTCCGTTCCTGTGCCTTGCAACCACAACAAATGTCCATCACTGTTTCTTGTGAAAAAGTCAACACTGACTGCAGACTAGCAAATCCAACGTACACATTAAATGCATAAGGCAACAGAAGTGTTATCACAAACTCTCCGACACTATAAATGCAGTTCATCATTGATGGAAGCAGTCGTTATATGTGACAGATCAATAGTTGCACACACAATTATTTGCATAAGGCATTGCAAGTTCTATGATAACAGGCTGCTCGGCATTTTCTGAATCTACAGTTCACAGGCTAGCTGCAAACCACAGCACAACAGGCCAACTGCCCTTTCATGGGCAAACACAAAAGAATTCTTTAGTTGTTTCAGTTACAAAACTCATTCTCTGAAACCTAGTTTCTTCTTCTTTTGTTGTCTCACTGATACCAGGTTGTAGCCCGGTGTCGTCTCACTGATACCAGGTTGTAGCCCGGTGTCGTCTGACTGGTACCAGGTTGTAGCCCAGTGTCGTCTCACTGATACCAGGTTGTAGCCCAGTGTCGTCTGACTGGTACCAGGTTGTAGCCCAGTGTCGTCTCACTGATACCAGGTTGTAGCCCAGTGTCGTCTCACTGATACCAGGTTGTAGCCCAGTGTCATCTCATTGATACCAGGTTGTAGCCCAGTGTCGTCTCACTGATACCAGGTTGTAGCCCAGTGTCGTCTGACTGGTACCAGGTTGTAGCCCAGTGTCGTCTCACTGATACCAGGTTCTAGCCCAGTGTCGTCTCACTGATACCAGGTTGTAGCCCAGTGTCATCTCACTGATACCAGGTTGTAGCCCAGTGTCGTCTCACTGATACCAGGTTGTAGCCCAGTGTCGTCTCACTGATACCAGGTTGTAGCCCAGTGTCGTCTCACTGATACCAGGTTGTAGCCCAGTGTCGTCTCACTGATACC